TATTAAGTACTAACTCCATTGAGTTGCAATTGGGGAAAAAATAGCTCAAACAAATGTAAGATGTGGATCAGAGCACAACTAAAGTTGGGGGCGGGGGGTGCAAGATTCAAGTTAGTTACAGTGTTTTCAAAGTATTTTCAGTTTCAATGGTGCTAGTTTCATTACAATTGTGTCATTCCTAACGGGTTGCTGTGACCACTTTACTAATGCTTCTCTATCCCAAATGCCCTGCTGATGAGAACTTTACTAAGTCTTGTTTGCTTAGTTACTCTAACCAGAAACCCAAATCTCTTTACATCCATTTTTATTGGCAACAGTAGCAGAGTTATTTTGCTTGTTTTAAATTAAGTTGAATGTTTATTCTTCTTACTTTTCATTAATAAATATAATGCAGGAGAAATCATGCATGAGCACTTTCCTGTAATTAATGTGAATATATTAGATGGGAGCACTTAGAATGGAATATTTTAATTGTGTTTTTTTAACAATGCTTTACCAAAATGGGTTTAATTTCAACTTTGCTGCACATTGTTTTGCATTAATTATACATCTTAAAAAGTAGCCGTGATAACTAATGGATTCAAATATAACGTTTAAAATAGTCAATTTTCTGCTTATTTTAAAATCTAAATATGAAAATCCAATGATTTTACGAATCAAATTTAGTTGCCTGTAAGAAAGAACTTGCAAATTTTTGGCACTGTACCAAGTTGAAATATCTCGAAGAGCTTCACAGATAGTGTAGTAACTGTTTTAGTAAGGCACACTGCAGTCCTTTTTGCCAGTAAAATTGGTCCCACAAACCACTGAATGTCAAGTAATCTGGACACCAGGAACCACATCCTCATTTTTTTTAAATAGTGTCATCCACCTGAATGAGGCTTGGGCAACCTCAATTTTTATTTCCAGTCTGAAAGATGAGCCTCTGATAATATGGTTCTCATCTAGAAAAACACTTCAGGGTCAGCCGAGACAATGAACTCTAGACTCAATATGGGTCATGAATCCATAGTCTTTTAACCCATAGTAGAGTAAGTCTACTTCTCCGATCCAACTGATCCAAATAATATTATACATGCAAGGCATGAAGTTCATGAATCTATTTACACTTCAATTATTTGTGAATTTGGTAAGAACTTCATAATCTGTCTGTAAAAGAACAAAAAACAATCTTTGCTGATTACTTTGAAAGCCGAGACCAGTTGCAAAAACATTCTGAGTCAGAGCCTTAGTCAGCACTGACAATTGTTTATATGTATGTCTGGTTTACAACATATTTTTCTCCATTATGGTCCACGGTGCCAGCTGTGCTCACTCGGTTGCATTCTTGTCTCTCTGTGTCAAAAGGTTGTTGCGTACTTTGAGCTCATCGTCTAGAGGACAGATGATCCAGTACAATGCTTGGGGAATGCTTCATTGTTTGAAGTGCCCTGCTTCAGACTGTTGTTAAATCGAGGTCCTGTCTGCTTGTCGAAGTGGACATTAAAAATCCCCGAACACTATGCGAGAAGAGAAGGGAGTAGGGAATTTCTCCTAGTGTCATGACCAACATTCCTCCAACCAAATTAATAATAATAATAATCCTTGCATTTGATATATCACTTCATCGCGATGTCTCAAAGATCTTCACAGAATATATTGTAAAGTAAATTGGCTAAATCTGCTTTGTGGGCAAATTGTGGCAGTCAATTGCATATAGCAGCATCCCGCACACAGCCGTGGATTGATAATAATTTCAAATTGTAATATTTTAAAATAAAACTGGTAATACTTTCAAAGTGATATCTTAAAAATTGGTTGCAACATCGGTTTAAATTAAATGTTGGCTTTTATTTAATTGGCCGTCTTTTAAACCATCCAAATTACTCATTCATCACCTGGCTGTTTGTAGCTATCACATTCACCTATAAATACACTATGCTTTACCGTAATTATTGTGAAGTGCTTTGGGATAGAGCATTATATTAATGTCATTTATATTATTGTATTGTAGTATAAACAAGCATGCTTAACAGGTCTGCTATTTCCAAATCAAGCAGAAGATACCAAACACAAAAATTTGGGGATTACTATCTTTCTCTGGCAATACAAGTAAGAAAGTAAAATAGATTTAAAATAACACTCTACTAATCATACATACAGTTGTCCCCTAACTTTGTTTATCATGAATTCCTTTATATGGATTTATGTTCCATCAGTTGATTAAAATGATACCTTTCATTGGCGATGAGCAGCCAGGTCTGTATTCATTTTAAAATCAACACTGTTATCAAACCCACAGTTTTTTTAAAAAAATCATAGGTTTAATTAAACTGTTAATACTAAAGTGCTAAATATGCAGTTTATAAAATGAATTAAGGAAAATGATAATGGTCAAAAATAGTCACTTTATAGACTAAAGATTTCAGGACTGCTGTATATTCAGGGTGAGGTCCAATTTACATTCTAGATAAATCATTACGATTCAATTAGGGAGATCTTGTGTATTACGGAGAACAAGCAAAGAAGTGTCTGAATGCAAATTAAATGTATCAGGCTTCAAAGATTCAAACTGTGGCTTTCTGCAGCATCCAACCCCAACATTTATTGTCCTTTTAAATTGTGTTTCACACATCCAAAAATAGACATATCTCATTTGACCTGGTGTTGTCTTCTCTCCCACATATACACTTGCTCTCACACTCATTCTAATTCATGCATTTATTTCAGAAATGGGGCAAAATAAACATTTTTAGACCTAGCTTATTTACATTTCATTTTTCAGAATATTGAAGTCAGGAAAATGTATTAGAGCTACAAACCATTCTGTGATTAGTTACAATTGTGATGATTTACAGTGAATTGTTTCAACAATGCAAGTTTTGAATATTTCACATTTGCCATGATGAAATCTTTTATTTGTTGCTTATATAACGTGTTGTATTGCATGTAGTACATACAAAGTTAGTTCATTTAAAGCACTAATTCCTATTAGTTGATGTTTAAAAATTCTCCAAAGCATGTGATTTCGCCCCTATTAGCTGAAATGCTGGAGCAACACAGAGCAGCCGGTATACCTGGTAAAACGGTGCTAGTTATTTAAAGATATTAGGTATGGTTATTATGTCTGAGATGGATTTCACCAGAGAATACTCATCGACTTTTATTTATTGCATTGCTCCTCAATTAGAATCACACAATGAGTTGTTTTTTCCCTCTTAAATTGAACGTAATGACTCATGAGTGGCAAGACACGTGAAGGAAATTTGTACAACACAGCTGTAGCATTGTGTGGGCTTGGCAATGTTGCTTTCTATTTCCTGACAACAGTCTGTGCCTGAAGATCCAAAGTTAATACAATCTGTTAGCATGTCACATGGTGACAGCTTCCCAAGACCAATCGATATTCTCTTTGCATCTTGCAGTTTGGTTTAATCTTCATCAATTTGATAATTATGGGTGTTTTTGGTCTTAAGAAAAATAGCATTGCATGATTAATCTGCCTAAATTTGAATGGACAGTATTTCAATCACCATACATAATAGCTAGACTGATTCAAATATGAATCTTTGCAATTGATATAACATCTAATGTTTGACATCAAAACATCTCAAAGTGTTTTTTGTGGAATTCCTGATGAATGTAATGATTGTATTTTCTGAAATGTATTCAAATCTGTCCTGTACAGATACATATGAATTTCAATATTTAGTACAAAAATGAATACCATTGATTGTGTTCCAATATCTGTGTTCTCATATTCGGAAAGACCCATGACCAAAGGAGACATGGGATTTTAACCTGACTTTCTAATGGAATTTTTTTCCGTTCATGGAAGGTTTGGAACCATTAATATTAATGGTACTCTGGGATGCTACCTGTGAGAGGAGCACTATACAGATAAAGTTGTTGTTGTTGGTTGGTAAATGATTCTGAATATTATACTATAATTGCCAACTATGTTGTGCATCTGATGGGCGATATATGAGCCTCTGTGGAAACGATGATTCAATGGTAAAATATCCAGGAATAATTTGACTTAAATAAGTCAATCAAGAGACGATCTTCAATGGATACATTTATTTTACTTAATGTTTGCATTTGATTTTAAATAGGATGTTCTTGTAAAATATTTATTTTGAGCATTTAGTGAATTTACTGCACGGTATTGCTGATCTGTATGTTATCCAATACTTATTTGTCCTTCTTTGTGTTCTTTTATAGTGATTTTGTCTTCTGGACTTGATGGTAGATAGTTTTTTTGTTGCAAGTAGAGTACCTTTTAAAATCACAAGCATAAACTAATCCACTCACATCATTGTGCCTTTCTGTCTTTTCTAATTCAACCTTTCCTTCTGGCACCGTTCACTTGTTTTCAGATCACCACCGTTACAGAGTTTTATATAGTCAATTCACTTTACAGTGTACTCTGTGAAGCGCTTTGGGACGTCCTCCCGACGTGAAAAAGCGCTATATCAAATGCAAGGATTATTATTATTATTATTATGTAGTTCACTTTTATGTGCATTAGAAAATATGCATATCATCTTGTATTTCAGATAATACATCTGTTTTAATTTAAAAGACCATTAATTTTGTTTGTGCTGTGTAATCACAATCTCTACATTGCTCACTTGATTGCTGCCAATAATATATTTTTAAAAATCTAGTAAAATAATGGGACCAAATTCTGCAGAAATCTGAAACCCATGAGGTTCTAGAACCTGGAAAAATTGTGTGCAGCAAGTACTTACATTAATACCACTGCACTTAAATGTGAATGCTATATTCCTAACAGACTGTTTCATACCCACCTGAGATGCTACCCTGCGTGGAGGGTGCTATATAAGTGCAAGTTGTTGTGGTTTACAAGCCAATAGAATGTCCACAATCTGTGAAAATCCACAGATATTTTGCCTATATGTATCTTACGACATCGCTGATTTGCATTGAATATAAATAATTGTCATTTCTATCAATATTCAAATATAACATGAGTAATAATACAAATAATCCAAAGATGTAGTTGATTGTGAACATTTATTTGTGTTAAAATATAGAAATTGTATTACATAGGCTGAAAAGCAATAATTATCAGACATTGTTGGATGTATATTTACAAGACTGGCTAAACATTGATATTGACCATGCAGCACCTCAAACACTGATTTGTGTCTATGTACAAATTAAGTGCCACATTAAATATTTACAATGCAGTAATTTACTGCAAGCATTACAGTCTATGCAGTTCTTTAAAGTGAACCAAGCAATGCACTTTGGTATTCTGAAGGAGCATCACGTTCGTTAAAGCATCTTCCCTATCGATGGATCTTTCTGAACCAAAGTCTTTCTCCTGGATATTTTGGTCTTTTACTTTGTTCCCAATCTCTGAATCAGTGTCGCTGGCAGGTATGTAATCTAGATGTCTTGGTGGAACCATTATGTCCTCGCTGTATCCGACAGGAGAACCCTTGGGCACAGTCACATCTCTGGAATATTTCCAACCCATGTGAGCCTTTCCGCTTGTGCTTTGTGCACACTTGGCCTTCCTTCAGCACGGGTTTGCAGATCTTTGACCAAAAGTGCCGGGCACAGCACAACCCTTCAGAACAATCTGAAGATCTAAGGCACATGTCACCTTCTTGTCCTGAAAGTAGATATGAAAGTAAACCTTCAGACAACCGACCAATCACTAATTACTGGTTTGACTCTGAATCTTAAAAGCAAACAGTGCTTCATTGGGTTAGAGAGTCCCTGTGGGATTTTTTGTTGGGTTATATACCTTTGACAGAGTGAGTCCTTCCAGTGGTCATCACCCTTTTTGGCTTAGTGTCCATCGTAGTGTGTTTACCCTGGTGGTTCCATCTCTCCACGATCATCTCTTCTATCTCTCCATGGGTATCATCCTCATCATTGGGTATGCACATACCTGCAACAAGAACTTCCCATCAGTCTGAAACATTCTTTAAATGAACTAACTAGCAAATTAAATCAACCTAGAAACGTTGTAAATTCCCAGGACACAAATAAAGGTTCTGGTTTATCAGAGGTTGATTTGAGTGTAAATTTTCGGCAATAATTATGGGGATAGAAGAAAGTTGGATTCGAAAACTGACCCATCTTCCCATCACCTGCTCCCCCACCCCCAGCCCCCAAACCCAAATCATAGTCACGGATTCCTTTACCATTACTGCAGCGGTTCCCAGGGCAGCACATGATGTCTCGAAGGCAACGCTTGCGGCGCCTGCGGCAGGTCAGGCAGGTGTGTGAGCCCGAGCAGAACTCGTGGAGAGGGCAGTCCTGGTCATTCAGACAACTGGGGAGCTGGAGAGCAAATGCCACAGTCACTTCATGATCAAACACTCAGCCCCCACCCCCCCTTCCCCACCCCCATACACACACACACACACATAAATACACAAGTACACATATCATTAACTTCATTAACGTCAGGTTTGGAAAATTAATCAGATTTTTTTGTTGTTGTGTAAATCAAAAAGCCACCTGGGATCAACAAATCCAAAGAGATTTTTTTTTTTTTGGGGGGTGGGGGTTGTTTTGGGGTGGTGAAGGGGGGGGGGAGGTTGTTGTTCAATTATTTTTTTTAAAAAAATAAGTTTTTTTCACACAATTTCAGTCTGGACTTTTTTTCCCCCCAACTGTAAATCAACCCCTATATACACACACATATATATATAATATATATATATATATAAACAAACAAGTAGTGAGCACAGGATTGAACCAAATGTCACTTGGGTGTGGAGTAAGTGAAGCCCCAGAGCAGAGCAGAGAGGGGTAGAGAGGGGTAGAGAGCTGAGAAGGGGATGGGACACCCTTTTTTTTTTACCTGGAATTGCTCAATGGCGTGGTTCTGGTGGACACTGTCGTAGATGATGACTTGGGGGGTGATGCTGATGGGGGGGTGACCGAGGCTCTGAGCCGCTCCGCTCCCGGTCTTGATAGCGTTGGAGTTGAAGCTGTTCCCACTCTCCCACAGACAGCAAACCAGGAGCACCGCGCACTCCCACACCGCCCTCACCTGCATCGTCGCAAAGTGGGTGTTGTTTTTTTTCTCTCCCTCTCTCCTCTTTTCTTTCTTTCTTTCTTTCTTTCTTTCTTTCTTTTCTTTCTCCTTCTTCTTTTGACAGCAATGGGGTGGTGGTGGGGCGGGGAATCTGTCAAAGCAACTCAGGCAATGACTATCGATTCCAACTCCCAATTTAAATTGGGAGTTAAATTCAATTGAAATTGGGAGTTAAATTCAATTGAAATTGAAAAGAAAAGAACAACTCCTTCCTCCTCTTTCCTCTCTCCCCCCCTTCACCCCTCTCACCCCTCTCTCTCTCTCTCTCTCTCTCTGCACTAACGTGGAATCTAATTCAGTTGAGGTTATAATCCTTCCTTCCAAGATATTCCGCCTACAGACAGTCGGACTCAGTGCGCAGTTGAGCGCTGGAGCGAGAGATCCGTCCTCCTCGATGTAACTGTGTTTATGGTGGTGCGACTGTGTTGATGGGACAATTTATAGTGGCCGGGGCTGGGGGGGGGGGTGTGTGTGGGGTGTGTGTGTGGGGGGGGGGGGGGGGGGCTGCCCGCCCCTCTCGGTGTGTAACAGAGCCCTTGGGCTGGAATTTCAAAGGCTGAGTTTGACGACGCCCTGAGAAGAAGACCAGCGCTGGTCCCACATTCCGCTCCAACTCGTGTTGTACTGTGTGTTGTGTTGTACTGTGTGTTGTGTTGTACTGTGTGTTATGTTGTGTTGTACTGTGTGTTGTGTTGTACTGTGTGTGTTGTACTGTGTGTTGTGTTGTACTGTGTGTTGTGTTGTACTGTGTGTTTGTACTGTGTGTTGTGTTGTACTGTGTGTTGTGTTGTGCGCGATTATCACTGACTCTGAGCGGATTCCCCGCTGATCAGTTCTGTACCTCTGATAAGAGAGAGGAGAGGGAATGATGGGGACGGGACGGCTTTTATTTGCGCATTTCCCAAACATTCCCCTCTCTCCCTCCTGAGACCTGTCCATACAATACACACACACACACACACACACACACCAACCTGCAGAGCAAAGCCGAACAGAGCCGAACCAACGCCACAGCCGCCGCTCTTGTCTGTGGTCCTGATCCCGATCTCGATCTGATCTGATCCGATTCGGGGCGACTCGAGCGAAGAAACCCCTTATACCGACTCAGAAAGGGGAAGCCGTCTCTAGTTGTCAGGAGTGGGACAGAATTCCCTTATGGCTATCAGTAGAGGTGATCCTTGAACCTTTCAGGAGAGGTTATTGTCTGTGTCTGTGTGTGTGTGTGTGTGTGTGTGGTATTTCTCTCCTGATTTGGTTGTAAGATCCTGTGACTTCTTTCGAGACGCGCAAAAACACACACACACACACACACACACTAACCACACGGTTCTCCGGGTACTTCTCGGGCCATTTGAGTGGCATCTGATTAACCCCGAGAGCACATGGAAGAACTTTGAAATGCAGTCGACTTAAGGCACGACGGAGATCAAACGCTCACCCGCAGAGCTAAAAAGGTTTGCATCGCACAGCGCTTTGCGCTAAAGCAAATATAGGCTGATTAGCACTTAATGATGAGCAGCTCAGGTCGATGCCCCTCACAACTGGCAACTGCGGGCTTTTGTGAACCTTTCTCTTGGACCGTGCATTCAGCTCCCCTCTCGACTCCCTAACCCCCCCCCCCCCCCCTCCTCGCTCCCCCCCTTCCCTACCCCTCCCCTCCGCTCACGCTGACCATTTCCACCCCTGCTCGGGTCCCGACCCAACCCGTCCAGCGCCTTGGGACGTCCTCCCGACGTGAAAGGCGCTCCATAATTGCAATCTTGTTGTGGTGGTTGTTGTTTAATAAACTTCTAACGCGCGCACTTTTTTTTCCGGCCCTGGTTAAAAGTGCCCAATGTTGTCTTCGGAAACGTTGACGGAAGAGTCGGGATAAACCCAACGCTTTCGTGCTGCAAGTCGACCTTTTTGCGTTTGAGCGGCTGATACGTTTCTTTTGATTGATCCGTTTTCGAGGAGGAAAGTGGTTGCAGAAGGTTTCGTTCAAGACCACGGGCTCTGCCGTTTCTGTTGCAAACGCACTTGCCTCATAAATCAAAAGATTTTTTTTTGGAAAGGGCGGAGAGGGAAACAGAGAGGAACACTCCAGGAGGTAGTTTTGGAACAAGTGGGATAAAGTCAATGATACTTTCACACTGCATTGGATTTCAGGCAATAATGCACCCAGGCGAGGATTGATCAGTAAACCCAGGAGAAACACGAGATTAGAAACCACGTCTAATGTGTAATATTCAATATGCCACATGCCTTGCAAAATAATAGCCTTCCACCAGGAGTGTTATTTTTACTGGAGAGATGGAGTGGGTCGATAAAATGATCAAACCACGGGGTCCCAGTTATAACTGCTTATTGAAAGTTCTGTACACTTTTACTGATAAAGACAAAGTTGCCAAATTGCCCCTATTCCCCCCCTCAAAAGAAGACCATTTCTATTGAGAGATGAGGTCTGGGTATTGACTGGTGTGTAGCATTCCACAAATGTGATGTTCTATAAGCTCACAGCTTCCCATGTTGGCTCTTTTCCTGCTTCAGGTTTGCCCCCCCGCCCCCGCCCCCTCCTGATGTGTGTGTGTGTGTCTGTACAGCCAGAGCTACTGGGCAAATGGCACACAATGGTCCACATACACTTGGCTTGTGCATTCCACTATATTCGTGTTTCGCACATAAGACATACAGACAATTTACTTTACAGAATATTCTGTGAAGTGCTTTGAGACGTCTCAAAGACCTGATAAGACACTATATCAAATGCAAGGAATTATTATTATTTTACAATTTTTTTGGGTGCAATTTTAGAACCAGATTCCAAATCTGGTTGTTCATTTTGAAATGGAAACGGATTAAATTGCTACTGGACCCTCTGGAAATTCAGTCAGATCATGTGAAATCTCATCTCTGACTTTACCTTTTTATTATTTAGAGGCTTCTCAATTGTTAAGTGAGCTAAGTAACGTTTTTGCATAAAAAAGTGATAGCTTACCAGTAGCTTTAACTCTTAATGTGCACATGGGTTCACACATACGCAATCTATTTATTGTAAATGTGTGAAGTTAAAAGATTCTCAGTGAAGAAAATCTTTCATTTGCACTTCATTTAACTTCATTGTGAGTTTACAGGACTAATCCAAATCTGTGGTAGCTGGTTTTTGTTTTAACAAGACTGCCCAATGTGTAGAGCAGTGTGAAAAGATGGTTGTTTTGGGAACTCTTTGATGAAGTGAGATCAAACAGAATTGCCAAGCTTGCACTAACCCTGCGCCTTAATCAGACTTGAGGAGACATTGCGTTTACACAAACATACCATTACTGAGCTGTTAGCTTTTTCCATAGACTCCCTGCTCAATAAATTCATCCAGCTCGATGGGACCTGATCCTTATTAAAATAAGGCAGGAAAACAAATCCATTCAGTCTATAATGACTTTGGCACCTGTCCAAGTGAGATCACAGCAAAAGCCATGTCGATTTTGATTATATTAACACAGAAAAAAGAATGGACATGAGCACACATTGGTAAGAGTGGACAACAGCAAATATTTTGGCATCAGTCCCTGTAACTTGGGTTGCAAAGGAAAAAGAAATGTTTATATTGCCATCTTGTGGCCACTGCAGTTTTGATTGTAGTTGCTGAGCAAAATTGTTTGTGGTTCTAACTTATCTTCCCTCTTATCCATATGGTCTGACATCAGTCAATTGCAATCACGTGTGTTGTGCTTTTCCTTCAGTTATATTTTTCTGTCAGCTGACATATTGCAAGAGCTTTTGTTTGTTTCTGGCTTGCAGAGTTAACCAGAGCTGAGTGGGAAGAGGTCCTGTTACCGGTGACAGTCCAAGACAGGCCTTGGTTTTACCAGTCCAAGTGCTGCGATGAGCCAGGCTGGCTGAGCTGTGATGAGAGGTACTGCAGACCCACTTGATTCAGGAATTGGACTCCTGAAACCATCACAATATATATATATATGTGTGTGTGTGTCTATGTTGTGTTCATATTATAGTAGGTTTCGTTTTGCTATTATTAGAAACGTTATTGTCATTATTGTATTAGTAACTTACAGTTCTCATTTGGTGGGGGATGGCGGTAAAATTAGAATTTTCAAAAACTGCAATTGATCTTTGTTGTAATTTTACTCATTCCAAACTAATGGAAGGTTGTGGGTTCATGCCCATGCTGGTCCTTTGAGCTCACAGTCTAGGCACAAACTCAAGTGCAATCCTGGGGAAACATTGCATTGTTGGAAGTGCCGATTGGCCAGCAGTGCCAATGAGATGTTAAACGAAGATCCTCTCTGCCTGTTCAGATGGCTGTCCCCCAGATAAAAGTGGGCATTGATTTCATGATTGTTTTGGGACATTGCTGTGCGCTGATAGGCTTCTACATTCACCTAAAGAGGCGCTATATTAAATGCAAGTATTATTATTACCTCAAGATCCCAATTAAATTGTTGGCCAGGAAACATGAGATGGTGGCCGCTATAATTTAGTCTGTAGACAATATCCAGATGATCTCTTAATGTGTTTGGGCAAAATTTACGTTAACCACCAAAAATAAAGAATGTCTTCAACAAACCAATAAAGGAAGTGAATCGACAGTTGTTAACATTAAGCTGTCTATCCTGCATCTAAAATTCTCAGCTCTTTAGATGCCAGTATGAGAAGTGATGACAGATTATGGCATACGCATACTGGACCAAATAACTACAGATTCATGTAGATGTATGTGCGCCTTAATAATTAGCAATAAAAAAGAGGAATGAGGAGGTTTGATATTGGACACGTACTTAAAATTAAGTTAGTTAGTCTACCAAATAAATCTGCATTATTTACTTGGTAGAAAATAACTCCCATTTTTTCACTGTGTACATTTAAAGATATTCAATTCCTTTCTTCTTCCTTACCTTGCTCTCCCACCCTCACCTTATTCCATATCCTTAGATTCCCTTTCACCATTGCATTCCCTTTCTTACCTTACCATGCTATCTCCTCAGAATTATCATCCCACTTCTTATTTGCATTAATCTCAATACCACACCACACTGTGCATTTATCCACTGAACTATCAAAGGAACCTAGTCATTTTTATGTCGGTGTTAATAGTTAATACTCAAAAAAGTATCATATATAATTCAAAAGTAATCATCTTTATTTCAGCTCTAGAAAGTATATACCAGGCACTCTGCATTGACAGCTGCAGGGAAATACAGGACAAATCAAGGACAATTAAACTTGTAAAAGTTAAAAATCTTTGACCAAAGAAGTGCAACAAGCCTGTGAACAGCATTTGATGACAAAGTTTACATTTTGACAAAATTGCCATGCTGACATACCTAGAACAAAGCTTAAATTGGAAACATTTGAAACAAATACTTTATAAATTTATAAATATTCAGTGAGTTTAACAGTTGATAGTAAACGTTTTGTTAAATAGAGACAGGGAATACAAGAGATTTTAAAGTGGGTATCAGCTACATTAAATCAATCTTAAGAAGCAGAGTAGTCTGACAAGAGTCTCTAGTAGTTTTACTGTTGTCCTGAAAGATTTCAATTTGTGTCAATCATTATTGCAATTGATGACCTTAAGGAGAAACTTTATCCTAATATTTCTAACACAAGTGAATCAATATAAGAAGGATTTGCATATACAAGAAAGCCATGTAAAGCAACAATAAGAAGTCTTGTGACTTTTTTTGCACTGCACACATTTCACAGAAATGATGCATTTCGTCAACAGTTTCACAGTTTCCCTAAATTGAACAGAATTATGGGTACCACATATTTTCTGCAAGTCGTGCAATAATAAAAAGGCCTTTGAAACTTAACAAAGAAAGAATTTATGAAGAAACCAGCTAGGAAGGACTGGATCCTTGAGGTTTGTTTGTTTTTGTTGCGCAGCATTTGACCAAATTTGTAATTTTTTTGGATGCCATGTATTTAAGGCACTTGAAACTCTGCCAAACAATGTAAATAACCTATGGAAGAAATGATCATTTTATGCAGCAACCTTCAGCCTTTTGCTTAATAATAAGTTAAATAATATAGATGATAAATTTAAGTTTGGTTCTTTCTAAAAAATGCTCAACTTTGTGTCCTTTTGAATTAACTGGTGAAGCAATGCCCATATATGAAGTCGGCAAAAACAGAAATGTTGCTCTCAACACCAAAACGCATCTGCTTATTTACAGTACTATGCAGCTTGTGGTCCTATTAAATACAAATGTATGTAGTACATTTGAAAATCCAGAGGTGCAAAAGCTACAGAGCCTTCGGAACTGCAGTACAACAGTGTGCGATTACCACTCAGCAAGAAACTGTACCCAGAATTTTTTCTTTGACAACTAGTAACCACCCCACCCCTATTATTTCTATATTCAGTTCTTAAAAAATAACCAGAAAGAGGAACTAATCTATATGATCCTGGCACTTTCTTCAGTACATTACGTGGTTGCTACAGACTTAGAAAAATTAAGCACTAACAAATTAAGTTGCAGATTTATCAGGAATGATTATTGTGGTATTTGGAAATATGAAAAAAGCTACTGGCAAAATAATCAATCTTCTTACTGCAACAAATATCAGGAATTTCCACTGGTTCTATTGTCAATGGACTTCAGCTAAGCAGTCTTCATCATTTCTGTTGGAAAGGGAAACTTGCAGGGATAAACTGCAGCTTAGAAATTTTAAGGTGATTTCTAAAATGAACTTAAAATGCATCTCAGTAAAGTAGAATTGTCACTGTAAAGTCCATTTAATTTGTCCCAATTTTATGTTTTTTCTAATGAGTTTGTTTCCTTGAATAAAAAGAGAACATCAAATGCAAAGCAGCATCTTATTAGTACTGTCATGGAGGATGGAAGATGCGAATACTCAAGCACATTTATTTTTATCCCAGCAACATGTTACTGGAAAGATAGTTTGACCAGACATACACTTCTTTAATCAGAATCTGTTTAGTCCCTCTTCATATAGACTGTAACCTACACTGGTGCAGCTGTAAACAAACAAAATAGTTCACTGCATCAGGGAGGCAGGAAGATAATAAATCAATTTTAACAGAAGAAATGGCCTGTATTCTATTCAAGGAAATGTGAAAATAATATTTTAATATTACTAACACATTTGTTTGACAGCATTATACAGAACTATTACTGTTTGAAATAACAATACATTATCAAGTACAGTTTTCAGAAAGGTTTGTAAACGACTGTTTACTATAATTTTAATCCATAGTTTTCAGCTAGAATTTAAATCCAGTGGCACATACAAATAAATATTATTTTTATTCAGATGTCTTAGGAAAGAAGAAACTTATTGAACCCATAGTAATTTTGCTAGTTTCACATTGCAACACAGAGAGATAAAATTACAGTATAGAAAGAAAGGGAATAGGACACAGGAAACCATCTATTTTTCCATCAAGTCCCATTTTGATCAGATGCATATATGATTAATGGAAAATAGAGACAGAGAATTTTAATCCAAGTTAATGGTCCTGATCACATCAGCATTTGTGCTTTTAATATATATGTGATGCTATTTTGCACATACCATCCAAATAAAGAGCAAACATTCAGCCTACTAATGGATACAATTTTTAAAAAATGATGGCATTGACTTGACATGAAATGTTGTTGACCAATAATTAATTGGTCCTCTTGGTTACATATACACTGGCCTGCTACACAAGGCCCTGTATTCTTCCACTGAACAGGTGGGAATATCCCAAGTTCACTTCTATAACTATCTATAATAGTCCCCTGAATAAATAACTACATTTGTCTAGAAAAAAATTCTAAATTCAGAATATCAAACAGTTTACTGGCTTTGAATAACCCTTTTTTAACCCATGTTCTGTCAATTTGTATCTGGAGCAATAGCACTATTCACCTCAGTGAAGGCAAGCCTTAGGTCTCTGCTAATAAAACAGCTTTGCTCTAGGACCACCACCTAAGTTGCTATTTTAGATTCAAAGCTAATCTTTCAAGGATCATCACTGCAATTTGCTAACGGCATAGATCCTAATGCCACTGTGAATAGTGTAGCAGCATCAGTCAAGGCATCATGGTACCTAGAGCACTAATCTTCCCATCATTCTTTTAGTTCACGGGCAGCCTTTTTACAAAGATGCTGTCCTCGGCAAGGCAGAAGCAGTTTGAAGGAACTGATCAAAAATCGGCATCCCATCCCGAGTTATCGTCAGGAGGTGGGTCATCATTATCTTCGGGGAAACTATCAAAGTTGCTTGTGTCTGTTGGAGATGTGACCTGCAAAGCAAACATCACAACAGTGGTAAATCTTCTCAACCTCAGGAATCATTGTCTGTTCTCAAACACAAGAAAGGCAGAGACACAGAACTAATGCTGTAATGGTTGATGATATTTTTATTCTGAAGTAAAACAAGAATAAGATGGAAATGCACAATAGAGTGATCGACATCTAAAAAAGGACTAGAAGTTGACAGTTTTAGGTAACGCTTCATAAGAGCACACTTTTTCATTTAATATCCAATTTTTAGGTAGAATCTTGTCGTCATTCATTTGTATTCACTATTGATAAAATTAAATTGTCAAAAGATTATACAAATAGCTTAGAAATAAACCCTGTCACATCAGTTAATATTTACAGATTGTTTGCAAGACGTGGAGTGTTGGAGGTTATTTTAATAATAATAATCCTTGTATTTGATATAGAGCCTTATCACATCTTCAAGAATTCTCAAAGCGCTTCACAGAATATACTGTAACTTCAATTGACTGTATGTTTTGTGGACAAAACCTGTAATGCACCTATTATGCTCCTACCACTGATTAACATCAAAGAGTGGGGGCTAAACCTTGGACCTTGGGGGTCTGTATGACTTATTTCTTCGCAGGGCGGTGACTTCTGAATAAATCATTGCACAAAATTAATAGAGTTGGTTCAATACTTAAGCATCTGCAGTTAAGTCAATACTTAAGACATGTCAGCAGTTACATAAAATTGATATTGATGCAACAATGGCAGTCGTCAATTTCTGTTAACTTTGCTTTAGTTGCAAAATTTGTCTGTAAGGTAGTTTTGTAGCCAATTAAATCTATATTTGAAAATATTTGGGTAAACAGATACTTTTTTAAATGTAATTTTTAAATGTAGATTTTGGTCATCGTTGCAACAATAAATTTATTCCTGGTGTTGGGAGTAATTTTGTTACTGTGATGTTAGTTTAATTAGAGCACATGAACTGAAAATATTTTTAAAAATCAGCCAACCCAGGGTGATGGGAAACTCTGCTAACCTGCTAACAGGTCAAGTGTTAAGCTACATAGTAAATGTGACAGTGGCATGCTTCTTTAGTTTGCCAGTTAATTTTGATTTTATGGATGCAGTATGTGCCTTGCAATAAAACTGCTGCAAAAATTCAGCTTGGTTAACTGATCTATAAAAAAAACAGTGTCTCCTGAAGTATGATAAGGTTTTGGCACCAAACGGCAATGAAATCTCCCAATAAATAACTGCAGATTATTTCCGAATAAACTTGAAATGGCACATAATCATTAATTAGTCAGTGCAAATATTATCATTCAGCAGTGATGTGCTGTGAACTGGCAGCTGTTGTTCTTACTGAGATATGTTATTGGTACAAAACAAATCAAAACCAGAGCATATATTATTAAACCATAACAAACACCAATGAGTCGTTTCAAGATCATGGCATAATCTCCAAAATTCAGAGAATTTCAGATTCTCTGAATGTCTGATCTGAATTTACTGATGTCTTGTAAACATTCTGCAGATATTCTCAAAATACCAAATTTAAACCATACATCGAGTTAATACCTCACATCAAGAGCCATTTCAGTTTTGGAAAGGAGACTTACACTAGGTACTATTGGAGGTGTTAAAGTGCCTTTTCTTAATCCTTCCCAGTTAAAGCCTTCAAACCATCTGAAATACAAAACATGAAGATTTACTGCAGTTGAAGCCTTGTTAAAAATTAAATGTATTTTAATGGAAAATGTAATTTTCATATGGGATTTATACCAACACAACTTTTTTACTGGTTTACTTAAGAATTGAATTCTATTATTAATTCTGTACTCATCCTTCATTGAGATTTCTGTCTTACCACCTATTTGCACAAGCAAGGCATAGTCCAGCTTTGCATTTTAAGTACATATGCGGCAGAACTGTGATAGCCTGCAACTGTCATTTATAATGAACAAATAATGATTGTGTGTTTTTCAGTTGTTGAATAAAATATATTAATTGACAAAAAATCCATTCAGTCTCAACTTAATTTAAGCAACATACTGAGCAGAATAATTTGATTGGTATGCAGTAACCCATTGATCAGAATTCTTTTATCAACATGTATTGCTCACCAGTGTTACCCAACTTCTGACAGCATCAGCATGACTCGTAGTCATTTGAATTTTATTCATTCACTTGAGATGGACTGTGGGATCACTGCACATTAACTGCTTATATTTGTTACTATATAATGTTCTATGATGATTTGAATTCTATTTTCATTGCATGTGATTCTGAGATATTTACCCAGTATTTCTGGGATCAGATTCCAGATGCGACTTATGTCGTCTTTGTCACTGTACTTCCTCCAGTGTTTGTCTGATATTGCTAAGAGTAGGTAATAAATGTGTTTTTGCTTAATGTTTTGCAGTTAGGAATTGCAAATAATGTGACATGAGGGAAATTACATAAACGAGAAATACCTTTTTTTTAAATAAAGCTTAGTATAAGTGCACACTGATTGTGTAGATTTCACTGATACATACCTTAAATTGTTTATCATTCACCTTTGTAAAAATATATGTTGGAAATGAGGTGTTTTGCGAACTACTAAATCTAAACTAACGATAATCCTTGCCTTTGATGTAGAACTTTTTATCCAGTTTTTTGTAAAGTCTATCTGTCAGTGTCTCTGCTCTCCCACTGGTTAGAAATAATCAATGTATATAGAAACTAGGAGTTTAAAGTTCTTTGACATGTTTCTTGACCAGAAACATGCAGAGAGGTGACAATCAAATCTAAAATGTGGTTTGGATTTATTTTTCATCATTTCTCAGTTATTTTCTCTCTCTTTTAATCGCCCTGTCATAAGCAGCAATCTGTCTGAGGTAAGTAACTTGGTTCCAAACTCTATTACCATCTACTGTAGTAGGAATTTGTATTTGTCTTCTGATTATTCCTCCCTTTGGAGAAATGCCAAACATCTCTTCATTCTTGTGATGGATTTTCTTTCTTTCCTTTGGACACTTCCGTGAGGTTAGAAGCTTACTTATGGGGAATCATGAGTGCTATTCTAGAAGGCTGAAATCAAATGGCTGGGGGGCCTTCCTCATGCAAAAGGTTAGCAGGTATGAATCAACCTGGTACAATGGTTGATGACTTCATATCTTTAAATGCAGTTTTACCTAAGAAGTCTGTGATGATGATAATAATAATAATAATGGCTTATAGCGCCTTATCCAGTCTTCGAGACGTCTCAAAGTGTTAGAATTTACCCTTTTTGTATAATGTTAGAATCATAATAGATGTTGCGAACGGGTTAACTTTTAAGTTAAGTGTGTTGTGGGCAGCTGGACTGAAACTCCCTACACGTACACGAGATAACGGACTGTCTCAAGGACAGTGTGTTTGTGTGTGTGAGGCACGTACACCCCATGAGGTGTTCACGTGAACCCAGCATGATTTCGACCGGGTGATCTAATATCCGCACCATGATTGGATGAATATTGGTATAAGAGTTCCGATAACTTTGTGTACGGGGCTGTCCCAGGTCGCGGAGACAAGGATACGGGAGATGGAGCCGTCCCGGGTCGTGGAGACAAGGATACAGAGATGGAAGACTGAGAGCTGGAAACACTAAGACTGAGGATATCAGATGGAAGATTGAAAGTTGTAAGCAAGAAGACTGAAAGCATGAAGAATCAAGTTTGTGTGCTGGAAAGACACAGTGTTGAACTCTTGAACTCGAGATATCTATAGTGGTGTTATTCTGTTATAAGATCTGTTGATTGTACCGGCCTTTGGTCTGACCCATCGGGATATTGGGGAATAACGAACGAATTATAATAAAACAGTATGATATCTGGTTAGAGGAATTAGCGTTATTTCCTTGCAGATTTGGCTGATTTTATTTTCTAACAAAAGCACTTCACAGAACATACTGTAAATTGAAGTGACCGTATATTTTATGGGCATATATTTTGTACATATTGATGATGTTGATGAGCAATATTATTACTGTAGGATGTGTTATTTTTATCAGTTGTTTTGAAGTTCAATTTATGATTCCCATGTAAAATATAACTATCTAACTAGAAAACAACAACAAAATTACATTTGTATAATGCCTTTCGTGTCAGAAGACGTCCCAAGGCCCTGGGTCTTTTATTCCAATAGGGTGTGCATTAAGATCGCATTTCTGGGAAGAACATATCTCTTCCCAATGATATGAGTTGGTGATTACTGTACATGCTTTTTTGAGCACCATTAATCCTTTGCTCATAATAGAGCAATTCAACCAAGAACATTATCTCTATAGGTTCTCTTTCGCTTCAACTATTGTTGGCATCTATGAAGAAAGCAATAGTAACAACAGTGATCACCAGTCAAAACTTTACATTTTATTTCATTAAAGTCTACACATGCTAAGCTGCGTTGAACACCTAGAACTATACATTTTATATGTGGCTTAGTATTCAAGCTTTACCTTTTGTATTTTAGAAGAAACAAGTAATATTTTTGGGACTAAGCCATTTTAGTCAGAATTGCACAGTTTGTATAATCTGTCATCTGTAAATTCTATTGCTAGTTGGAATACAAAAGAATTAGGAAATTCCTCTGAATATTGTGTGTTTAGAGATTTGCTTGTGCAACTGCAGTCATTTAGAAGGTGAATGAGTTTACAGAGGTTTAAGTGGGTGTTACAAGATCATACTTGGAAATTCAAGAACAAAACACTTACTTGTGCTTCTGAATATCCTTGACTCCATTTTTCAAGTTTCCTAGTCTTTCTGATGGATTGTCCCTGCATTTAAGAAATCAAAGAAGTCTGTTTGAATAATTACATCCAACAGTTTGATTTATCTTTCCACACCATGTATGGATAATCTCACTTCTAGGTTTAGAACGTCTAATAAACAATCCCAAATCAGTTTTGAGTTAATTTAATAATTTATATATATATATATTTCCAGTTGAAATTATATCACAAAACTAGTGTCAGGTATAGGTTGCTGGAGGCTCCAGATTGGGGTGAAACTCACCTGCATAGTTTCTTGATGAGGTTAGCAGCGTTTTTGGTTATTTTCTTTGGAAATTCAATCATATCAATCCCACGTAGTATAATGTTATATGTTTTCATAGGATCTGGACCTGAGAAAGGTGGGCTTTATAAACAGAAAGGCAACACAGACTCAAAATTAACAGACAAAAAAATCCACACAAATGTTTTAAACCACCATTTGTCTCAAAGCAAATATATAGATTGTATTGAATGAGTGGACATGAGATTCAACAATTCTCATAGTCTTAGTCTTAAGAGCAGTGAATTTAAAATTTAAGATTGTGCAGAATTTTCGAAAATTCAGATTTCTGCATTCTTGCACATATTCACCAGCCAGTGTATAACCATATAAAAGCTGACTCAGGGAAGGAAGGTTTATGTTCCATTTACCATATCAAGTTCATAGAATCTTAGAAATATACAGCAAGAAGAAGGCCATTCAGCCCATCGTGTCTGTGCTAGCTATCCAAATCAATCCACTCCCCTGCTCTCTCCCCATAGCCTGCAAACTTGTCCACCCCAAATAATTATCTTTGTGAAGGGATCGATGGGGCACTTGTGCCTAATCTCAAATTAGGAAGAATGGAGTCAGATAAAGACTATCTACATAACTAAAATGCATAATAATAATAATAATCCTTGCATTTGATATAGCGCTTTTCACATCTTCTAGATGTCTCAAAGCGCTTCACAGAATATGCTGTAAAGTGAATTGACCGTATATTTGTGGGCGAAACACGGCAGCCAATTGCGCACAGCAGTGTCCCACAAACAGTCGTGGATTGAAAACTACCTATTTATTATTGTTTTGTTTTGGAGGGATTATTATTAGGTGTGTGGAGTAAGGAAATTTGCCCAAGGTTTCGCCCTGCATGGAATTGAACCCAGGTGTCTCGCTTGCAGGGCGAGTGCTCTAACCACTGAACTACAGGACTCCACGGCAAATGAGGCATGTGAATGAAATAAATGGAGAAAGATTGCAATCCTACCTCCAGTTCTTCATTCCACAAAATTGACTACTTGGTTTTCTAGCCAAAGCTAATTTTAAGTTATCTCACCTGCCAGTCAGGAGTTCATACATAAGGATTCCCAGTGACCAGTAGTCTGCTGATATGTCATGTCCTTTATTCAAGATGATTTCTGGAGCTACATATTCTGGGGTCCCACAGAAAGTCCATGTTTTCTTTCCAAAACCAATCTTCTTGGCAAATCCAAAATCCACCTGTTCATACAGTCAAGTGACATTGTTAAATGCACCTGGGAAATGGAGTTTTTCATCTTTACTTTTAAACTATAGAAAAATAGCTACTCACCAATTTAGCATAGCCCCTGTGATCAAGAATTAGATTTTCCGGTTTGAGGTCCCTATAAATAATTCCTTTGGAATGCAAATAGGCAAAGGCTTCCACTACACAGGCTGTGTAAAAGCGAGTGGTGGCATCATCAAATGAACCTCTGCAAGAAAAAAAGCAACACGGTGTTACAGTAAATGCCATATTTACCATTACACAATGCGCGATGTGAAGCCAGATTTTAATATTTTGTTGGATACCAGTGTCATTTTTGCACAGACTGTCACGAGGCTAATGCCAGGAAATATTTGACATTGTGACGTAATGCAGTGCATACACTGCATACGGATACTATTAAACGTATTATTAGGTAAACTATTCTGTGCTAAGGAACAATGAGGAGTTCTGGAAAAGTTCTTTGTCTGGAACTAGAAGCAAACCAAAGGATATAAGCTAAAGAAAATGTGACCCAAAAGTAGCTTACTGAGTAATTATCTCACACAAGAGTTGTTATCTCATGCAATAGCCTAACACTCAGCGAACTGAATGTGACCTTGGCCGAAGCAGTCAAAAAAAAGATGGAGAGACTCCTGCTTCAAGAAGGAAGGAGATGAAAATGGACTGGATGGGCGCTGCACATGGATTTAAATGAGGCAAGCTGCACATGGATTTATATGATGGGCTGAATGGCATGTTCTCGTGTTCCAATTTGAATTGAATAGTTTACTTATTTTGAGTAAAACAGAAAGGACACCACATACCTTTTAATATTGTCTTCTCTGTATCTATGGAAAAAGTTCAATAAAATATTATTGAAGAAAAAAGGATATCTGGTATCTACAATATCTGGGTTTCTGCCTTTTTAAAGACAGAGGCCTTGTATACATGCATCAGTGTTTTTTGGGGGTGGTGGTTTGTTCATGCATTCCTTTCCTTTTAAAAATGTTGGAGGAGGTTCAAGATCGCCCCTCCAACTTCTGGGCCTTTGCTTTATTGGCGTTAACAAGCATTTTTAAATCTGTCGACGTTTTGTTGAGTACAGCCTTCATTTTATTGCAGGGGAGCAAAAAAGGACAGCCTCAAAAATGTACCATTGTGCAAAGTGACAGCAGATCTTTAATTACACAAGAATAATATGGAACTACAAAAAGATTTGTTGTGCTGAGGCCTGGAAAGAAAAAAAACTTTATTGGCTGAGCCAATATTATAAAAATGATCACAGAGAATAGTTATCAGGTTATTTGCATGAGATGGCAATAAAAATATTGATGTACCTGGAAAAAGGAAATCCATTTGGGTATTGGGTCTGCTTCTTGCACAGACCATACCAAAACTGCCCAATTATGGGCTCACTAATGAACTGTATCTACCTGGGTAAGTTGAGTTTACATGCTCCCTGAACCCTAAAGATATTCGAGCAAAATGAATGTGCATCATCACTGTCCAAGCCTTATTTTTCTTCTTTCCAAAGACAGTATTGCCAGAAGGACCAGGAGAGCCAAAGATTATATCCTGTGGAGTATTTATTCATGTCAGTCTATTTCTTTATTCTGCACCTTGGGATGTCCTCTTGACATGTAAGGTGCTATATAAATGCAATTTGTTGCTGTTGTTGTTATCATTGTAGTCTATGACTTCAATCCTTTAATACTGCCCGCAAATGAATTACAACTGAAAGTTAATAAAGAATTAACCATTCTGCATTACCAGAACTTTTAGTAATGGCCTGAACAGTTAATAGATCATGATAAATTCCTATTAACATTTTTCACATTTCTTGTTATCAATGTAAACTGAATCCAAGCATTTATTCCAAGTATACAATAATTTACATTTTTTGCAAAAGGTATTTGATATTTCTGCGTCAGCAGGTGGCGCCAAAGGATACTGATGAGAAAGTGGAGCTTTGTTATAATGTGGTGGTTGAGATTCATAGAATCTCAATCCGTTTTATAAGGAGATCATGATAGCTTCTGTGTGCGGTGAATAGTGTCCACGTGCCATTCATGTTATAAACAAATCACTGCTATAATGAAGTGCTTTATAACAGGGTTGCATTGTGGTGTAAATAAGATGAGTTGGTCACTTTAAAAATTCAGACAAATTAAGGGCTTGTATTTGTGCTTACATACTTCATTAAGACTTTAATGAAACAAAACGCACATTGCTAGTTACAAAATTTACAACATTTAAAATTATTTCATTGATGTCACGAATATAAAAATGACAATAATCCTGACAAAATAAAGAGAATATTTATGTCCATAGTTCAACCAGTATTACTGGTCTGCTCATAGAATGAGACACTGGAGAATAAAATCCCAAAAGCAACCAAAATGTCCTTGTGTCCTTTTGCCCACAAATATACGGTCAATTCACTTACAGTCTATTCTGTGAAGTGCTTTGAGACATTGAGAAGACGTGAAAAGCGCTATATCAAATGCAAGGATTATTATTATTATTTCTTGAAAGCATCATTATTTCACAAAAGGTTGATGCATATTGAAAAGCCTCATTATTTCAAAGGCCATTAACAAACGGTTGATACATATTGAATAGCAATACAGTACATGTAGGGTAAGTATTCTATTAGTATAAGTAAAATGTAATATTAGTATTATTGAATTTATAAAATATTTTGGTTTTAGATGCATATTAAATGTTTCCTTTCAATATCAATGACAATTATAAGTCACCTTACTACAGTGAAGTGGTAGAGATCGATCATACAATCGGCATGCAGTCCTTTACTTTCAATGATTTTTTTTGTTATCCGGTGTTTTTAAGTGTTCGCCAGCCATGAAACACATTGAAGCAGAAAGCATTTGATGTTCTATTATATTTTGTTGCAGCATGGTACTCATCATACTTACCAACAATTGCCTTCTTGGTCATATCACCAATGAATGCAAAACTATTTTTAATTGGAAATTGCGTTAATTTTATAGTAAGCAACTACATGTATTATTTGCAACAAATCTCAAATGCATATGCTCTCCCAAACAGTTTAAAACTGGCAGATGCCACCACGTAACCTTGGTTAACACTTCATGACTGCAGTTGGGGTGATGAATCCACTTGTACTTTAAGTACGATGGTTATTTCAGAAACAGAAAGCAGCAAATGGTTTAAACATGTGGCTGTTAGTAATGTGTGCATAATTTGCCTCCATTTATTCAGAATACTCTGAAGAAAGAAAACCAGATAAAAGAAGCAAAATGTATTTGAAAGTTCATACTGAGTTGTCAATATTTATGACTACTTTTAATGGACACTTGAATTGTAGTAAACCAAAGACACGCTTACAGATATTTTCCAAAGAATAGTCAAAACATGAATTATTAACATTTGTATGGAATTGCGCAAACTGCACAGGAAGGAAGCAGACTAGTCGGCTCAACTAGTCTTCTGTGTAGGTGTTTATACTCCATGTGAGCCTCCTCTATTCCTTGCTCCCTTATTTAGCAGAATGCTGCGTGTTACAAGTAAATGCACTGAACTCCATCCACTACAATTATCTAGATTTGAAATGCATTTACATTGACTGCAACCCTTCTCCACTGATCTCCTGTCTGAATTATACTTTTCTCATGTGTTGAACTTGAAATGCCAATCTGTGAAACAAAATGGGGTTTGCAGCAATCTTATCAAGGTTAGTTTTTGGCTTTCTCCTTGCAAGAACAGCCCCAAGTTAGAAATAAAAAGGAAGAAAATTATGTACATTTATGAATACAAGCCTGTGCATTTTAAATCCATACCTGTCCCTGAGTATCGTCCAGAGTTCTCCCCCGAGGCAGGCCTCCATTAACATATATAAATATTTGCTGTCCTTGAATGTTCTATATAGTCTGCAATGAGAAGACAAAGCTTTGTTCATGTTTGAACTATTTCAGCTTATTTAAGCTTAAAGAGTTTACTCAAAAACAAATCTGTATTTTCAAATAATTATAAATCCCACCATGGTTCAAGATCTTTATAATTGAACTAAAGAGGCTTAGTTTGTTGAATAAAATTAAAACTAATTCTGTCTAGCTTTATGTTACACCACATTGTTATATAAAGTAAAATAAGAGTTTGTCAGATTTCTCCGAAGTATTTGCTTCTACTCAAATATAAGCATAAATTACAGCAAAACAAATTATTGGTTGCTAATCACTCTCAGTGATCTGATTGTTGCCGTTTCAGATAAAGTGAGGATTGGGAATAAAAACCCAAGGACCCATAATGACAGCCATGGAACAACACTACAACTAAATGAGATTACTGATGTAAATCTGTCTGTGCTTTCTTTTTCTTCCTCTCCAGGTTCTATTGATAATTTTGTAATCCATTGAGTCTTGTGACCACGCTGCTTTCAATTCCCAGTAGTGACACTGCCCTATACTCAGTCATGTTTTTAACATGTTTAACAATCATTAAGAAACAGTTTCTTTGGCCATTATGAGTCAAAATCTACGGTGAGCAAGGTTAATGACTCCTTAGTAATGCATCAATAAGCAGCCCTCTAGCTCAGAGGTTAGAGCACTCGCCTCGTAAGCGAGAGACCTAGGTTTGATTCCCAGCAGGGCGAAACCTTGGGCAAGTTTCCTTACTCAATACGCCTGATAATAATCACTCAAGAAAAAAAAAAATTGGTCACTTCAATCCACGACTGTTTGCGGGAAACTGTGTGCGCATGGCTGCTGTGTTTGAAAAGCGCTGCATCAAATGCAAGGATTATTATTATTATTATCAATACACAGTAAGCAAATTGCATCATTCATTAAATGGCAAAATTGACTAACCTAAGCCTACAAATGTGTTAGCACTCTAGGTACCTCAACTATATGTTTCAAGATCACAATACTGGTTTGAATTTGGAGAAGATTTAAGACTTTCACTCAACAAGAGAAATAGACACAAATGTACAATTCACTAAACATTCTGATTTATATTTCTGGGATCTAATGTGAGGCCATAATTATTATAAGCGAGCGGAAATGAGTGCAGTAAAGTACAACAATGAGTAGTATAATATACCAACTGGGTCTAGATTTTCTCTATTCACACAGCATTTCAGAAAGTGCAGAATTTGAAAATTTGAAGTTTTTAAAATAACTTACAGAGAAACAGTTTCAAAATTAAAGACTAAATATCTGACAAACTTTGGACTCTCTGAAATGTTGCGTTAATTGTGTAAATCTAGAAATTTCTACTTAGAGATGAATAACCAATTTCAATTTAGGAATAAATTTAGATTGCGAAAAGAATATAAAGCAGGATACTGGGAGAAAGACCACATATCTTTAAAACAGCAAAGGCAGGGCCCTTCACTTCTGCTTGAGTAGGCTTCTCCTCCCACTCTTACACCATCAAGTTTGGCATTCCTCAGGGATCTATCCTCGGTACTCTACTCTTTAATATTTATATGTTCCCGCTTGGTGATGTCATCCAGAGGTTCGGGGTTAATTTCCACATGTATGCAGATGACACCTAACTCTATCTCTGCCTCCAGCCTTGATTCCAGGACCACTGCTTTCCTGACAATTGCCTGTCGGACATCAAGCCCTGATGAGAGCTAACTTTCTCTGGTTGAATGTTAAGACAGAGGCTCACCTAATCATGGATGCACGCTCCACCTCACTGAACTAATACAGAAACTCTGTATCTTGTTCAACTTTCTACTGCCCTTTAAACTCCATATCTGTGCCTTGACTCGTTCAGATTTTCTCCGTCTGCCATTACCTGTCCCCTTGCGCCACCAAGACCATAATCCATGCTTTTAAAATGTCCAAGCTTGACTATGCTAACTCTCTGGTCACCCGACTTCCCAACTCTTCCCTCCACAAGCTGTAGATTATTCAGAATTCTGCAGCTCGTGTGCTCTGCTGCTCTGCTGCTCCAGATCAACTGCTTAAAAATGAACTGGCTTATTTCTATGGTTAATCTACAAAGTCTGCATGATTGCAGCATGGGACATATTGCCTGTAGCCCATGGTAAATTAATGTGAAATTCCATGTACTAAATCAGATCTTATTGCTTAGCTACCACAGGCAGGGCAATTCCAGCACTGGTGCTTTATCTTTCATAGCACCAGGTCTTGCGTAAAATTGGGTAGTACCTCAATCATGCATCATTTGCCTTTGGCTAATGGACCATGTTAAACAAATTATTTGTTCTGGTGTTGTTCATTTATGCCAAAGTGAATCAAAACCATGTCACATAGATTGGTGATATTATTACATTTTACATATCTTCATTGAAATGGTTAAAGCTAAGAAGAGTTATTGAAGTCGTCTTCACTAAATGAGTGAACAAAATAATGCATGCTAGACCAGACTGTTAAGAGATATCTGCTTGTTTGGGAGCAGGTTTTACATAGCAGATCTACATTACTTTACCTTTATTTCTCAACTGCAATCAATCATCCAATCAATCACAGCAACAGTTATTCAATTCAGATGCTTATGAATTCTCTTATGAAAGGACTCTTTGCAATGTATTTGAAAATGTGTTCTATTTGCTAATTAAAATGGTCTTAGCCCCACTCCTGTTACAAATAAAATTAAACCAATTTTGCATTTGCAGTCCAACAGTTGATAACATTTGCTGGAGCTATTGTTTCAATCTAACATTATAACAATAATGCTCTTTGACTTCTGATGTTGAGGAATCCTACATAGCAAAACTGATTCATACTTTAGCAACAATTCTCTAGCTACATGCCAGCTCACATCAGCCACAGCAAAAGCAGATCAAAGGGCTATGGGACTAGTTATAATAATAATCCTTGAATTTGATATATTAATAATAATCGCATTTTATATAGTGCCTTATCACTTCTTCGTGATGTCTCAAAGTGCTTCACAGAATGTACTGAAAAGTGAATTGACTGTATATTTTGTGGGCGAAACGTGGCAGCCAATTGCGCACAGCAGTGTCCCACAAACAGTCATGGATTGAGTGACCAAGTTATTATTATTATTATTTTGTTCTGAAGGAATTATTACCCCCAGAAAAATGATTCGCCAATCGACTAACAACTCGGTTCCTGCTTACTGCTCGGTAAACAGAGGCGTGTGGAGTAAGGAAACTTGTCCAAAGTTTCGTCCTACTGGGAATCAAACCCAGGTCTCACGCTTGTGAGTCAAGTGCTCTACCCACTGAGCTACAGGACTCCACTCCACAAGTCTTTATGTCTGTGTAAGTCACCGGAAATGTGTTCTCTTACTTTTATGATTTACTGAGGCCTATTATGCAAGTTGTACAAACCATGTTTAAATCATACGTAAACATGTAAATTGGGTAAACAGAGGGAATTACAGGCATCATTAGTTATGTGATTAGCAACGTTGGGGTTTTGAGCCACCTAAACTAGGCTGACACTCCAATACAGTGCCTGGGGAGCACTGAGTTTTGCCCACAAAATATAGTCAATTCACTTTACAGTATATTCTATGAAGCACTTTCAGACGTCCCAACCATGTGATAAGGTGCTACATCAAATGCAAGGATTATTATTATTGTTGGAGGTGCCACCCTGTGGATAAGAAGTTAAACTGAAGTCCCGTTTGCCTGTTCAGGTAGATGTTAAAGATCTGACAGTTTTATTTGAAAAGGAAGGGACTCTTTCCCAGTGTTCTGGCCTCAGAAATGCGAGTGCTACCAACTGAGCTACACTTAAATTAAATCAAATTCAAGATCCTCATCCTCACCTACAAGGCCATTCATGGCCTTGCTCCCTCCTACCTCTCTGACCTACTATCCCCCTACTTACCTGCCCGTACCCTCCGTTCCTCTGGCTCCGGTCTGCTCCACATCCCCCGCACCAACCGCCCTACCATCTGTGGCCGGGCCTTCAGCCTCCCAGCCCCTAGGCTCTGGAACTCTATCCCCCAGTGCCTTCGCCGCCTCCTCCCTTTCCTCCTTCAAGGCCGGTCTCAAGACCTTTCTCTTTGACCGTGCCTTCAGCTCCCTTCTCGACTCTCTACCCCCTCCTCGCTCCCTCCCTTCCCTCCCCTCACCCTGACCATTTCCCCCCTGCTCGGGTGCTGATCCAACTGTACAGCGCCTTGGGACGTCCTCCTAACGTGAAAGGCGCTCTATAAATGGAATCTTGTTGTTGTTGTTGTAAATATAGCTCAGCATCCTCCTGCCTGACACTGTTTTGACATTGTGAGCAATGAATCACTGAGAGGTAAAGATTACTACTGTTTTGAGACCTGGAAAAAGAATGAGTTAAATTAGGAGCCAATGCAATGTATTTTAATTTCAATGTATTTTTTTAAATGGTCTTGAGAAAAAAAACTCATCCTCTAATTACCGTGGAGTTGATTTTGCTCATACTCTTTACAAATGCTTGACCTGATGTATTCTGTACATCTTTGAACAGGAGAAAAATCTCATGGAGCTAAGGTTTGGGTAGTTTTGCACTGTGATGTGTCTCCTTTGGGAGACAAAAAAAAACCACCACTAACTCCCTAAGAACCTGTAAGAGCAAAAATTAAAGAATTTTGTTCTCACTTGTCTTCAGTGAATTTAATTTGGGCTTCCTGAAACAAAAGGCTCTTGTTTTATCTCATTGCATCACGTAATGTACTTTCATGTTTATTAAATATTTATTAGGTTAATGTTGCTGCTTTCTTTTATTCATAATCAATAGTGAAATAAGCCAAAGTAAAGCGGAGAGATGTTTGGTTGTAAATCAAGCTTCAATTTTTTTGGGGGAGGAGAGTTTAGATTAAAAACATGCAGAGAACTTAAAAATGTTTAATGGTTTTTTACTGACTGTATTACACTAAGAGCTAAGTGTAAGACTACACTAAGTTGTACAAGTACAGTTGTCCCTGTATCTTTCCGGAGATTTAGTCCAGCTAAGTGGAAATGAAGCTGGATGTATTTAACAACTGCTTGGCACAGAGTTTCAGGTTACTTTTGGTTATGACCTCACCAGCACAAAATTCAATATCTGTAACATTAAAGTCTTGTTCTAATAATGCAGACTAGTCCATAGACTCCCCAGATATGGACATCAGACTATCAGGGAGTGTGGCTTCATGTACACTAACAGACTGCTGAGATAAAAGGACCCACGCCCACAATTGGACTGATTGGATGCAGTATGAACTCTTCATCTACTTAGAATGTAGATGCAGTATGTGGAATTGATCTTTTAATAAAATCTCTAGGCAGCTAATAAACACAATTTGTCTTGCAGTAATAGTGTGTTCTAATACACAGGATTCTGTTGTAGCAATGATATATTCACATGATTTCTGGTATTATAGTACAGAGGATGGTGTCACCCTTGTGGTAATTCAGATTGCAGGTTTTCTTGTAGTATAGATGTTAAATCACAATCTGATGAAGCAAAATAGTAGGTTGTTTTCATCCAATCAAAGAAATATAGCTCAAAATTGCAGGGGACATCATCTTTGCGAATACTTGTGTTTATGACTTTCAAACCTTAGATAAATTCACTGTTGAAACATTGGATTTCCAACACAACCTTGGTTCATAGTTACTCCCACTGAAATGCACTGATGATTCAGTAAATCAGTGAAGGAATAGTTCTGATCTAATGTCAAAGTATGGTGTAAATATAACAGGCATTGAATAAGAATATCTGTGACAGAAACAGGTTTACAGGCACAAAGACTTCAAAACACATGATAGTATGAATGTGTTTTTTGTTCACTTTGACCACACTTTCGGTCAACTTTCCCCTCCTGACCCCCAAAAGTGAAAGGTGTAAATTGTATTGTAAAGCTTGAGCGTAATGGCCAAGGCTTAATGACAGCAGGTTCAATCTTTTACATACATATTTGAATATATTAAAGCTAAATAAGGCAGAAGGTAAATGTATCATGTCACAATGATGGCAGATTTCACTTTCTGTTTCTCTCACTCCTGCTTTTTTTAAAAAATGTTTCAAAGGTGAATTTATCTTTTTATTGCACAATGTCATCAGGTTAGCTATTACCTCACAATGAAGTCTGAGTGAGCCTCCTGCATTATTTGCTTTTCAGATCGTATGTGCTCCTGTTGCCTTGTATCTACTATATGACGTTTTTTCAGGATCTTCATAGCAAATGTTTTTGATTCCTCACTCTTCATTTGGACCTTTTAAAAATAAACAATGACACAATTTTATATGTTTTTTTAAAAAAAAGTCTAAACCTTTTGCAAAAGATTTTCCGAAAAATACAATTGTTATTAAATAAAAGTGAAGATATAGTTGAACATTGTCTTATTTCATCATCCTTAGATTCGAAGCTTGGTATTTACACATTAGCACTGTCTATATAACCACCGTTTGGGGAGAAATGTGACACGTTTTGAATTTTATTTGGTTCAGTTTCTCAATTCACACTAGGCAGTGATTTTAGCAAGTGAATCCTATCAGGAGAGCTAGAGCATGGTATTTCAATAGTACCATCAGGATATTGAGTAAACAAAATGTACCTGCTCTGTGGAAAAATAGACCGAAATGGCTTTATTGAACTTTACTACGTCAATACATTCTCATGCTCTTAGTTGAATAGAACAATCTCTTCAATTACTAAGGTGAACAAGGAAACGGTTGGAAATATCTATACGTATGTATGGATACAAACATTTATGTTGAATTTTCTGGTCTTAAAGTTGCTTTGGAAACCTTCAATATTAACATCAAATTCTTTGAATGTTACTGGGTACTGCACTAGACTCAAACCTCTCAGAAACGGTTAATCTTTAAACTGTAAAGGAAAAGTTTAGATTATGTAACAAAATACTGTAGTATCAAGAAAGTAGTAAAAGCTGCAACAAACTTTCCTCTAGTTAATGAGCTGAAAAAGTCTTACATGTACTGTATATCTCAGCATAAGCACCCCAAAATGAGTTACAAAGTTATTCCGTTGAATTAAGGTTATACTGAGATTGTTATGAGCCAATGTTATATATGTAAGCAAGTTTGCAATAATTTGTTGAATTTGTGGGGCATTTTATGACTAATAATTCTTAAAATAGATGTAGAATTTTATAAAGGTCAAGGAAGTGCATTTTTTTGTGTCTCTTATTATGAAATGTACAAAATACCAACATTGCTTTTTTTAAAAAGCATTAGAAAAGTACCTTTTTCCGCAAGAAAGAGATCATCCGGTCTTAATTCAACCATCTGTGACACGGAGTACAGCGGAAGTCAATTTCAGCATGAACAAAATCTCAAACTATAAAAGTATTGCGTGTAGTTCATAGTGTTTCGCCCACAGAATATACAGTCAGTTTGCTTTTAAATATATTCTGTGAAGTGCTTTGAGAGTCTTGAAGATGTGATAAGGTGCTATATCAAATGCAAGGATTATTATTATCATATATTCTATAAAAATAACACTATAATAATCTAATCTCAGGTTTCAAGATATAATCACTGTTTTTGTTGCTTATAATCTCATTAAGATTCTCGGGGATTCATTATTTTATACCTAAATAAATCAGGAAAATATTGCAGACAGAGTAGACTTTGAAATAATCTGACTTGATGTATAACTGATGAATTAATAATGCACATTTTTTGCTATTTTGAAAATGTGCATATTAAATTTATCACCATCATGTGAGAAATAAATCTAAAGATAGTTTCCGTTAAAGCTCAGATATATAACTACCACATTTCTGTCATTGTAGGAAGAGCAGGTTTTTTGTGGTTAACATTCTTAGAGTATAGAAAAGCTGCGTTGAGTTGAACAAGCATTCCGTTCTTTATTCCTGCACTACAGATTTTCAAAATACCAACCATCTGTTTCTAGACAGAGATGAGGCAGCTCAGTTCACACAACCTAATTAGAATTATTAACCCCTGGAGCCCTGCAGATGAGTTGTCTAGTCTGGGCACTGCTGGGGTTAAGAGGGCTGCCGCCAATGTGACTAAAGCCATCCTGCTGTGGATGTTAAACCCACATTAATCACACTTCTTGTCAATCTTCCTCATTTTAGCTTTTCTATAAAATAGTATATTTAATAAGTTACTCCCACCTTTGAAAATGAAAGAGGAGAAAGTTAGCAAATGTTTCTTGAGAAGGGATTTAACAACCTGTGAATGAAGAAACCAAGATCCTTTCATTTGCTGACTGGAATGCCAAATTAACCTGCTCAAAATAGATTGCTGATTAGCATTTATCCTGCTCATTGATTATAAGATTCTTGTTTGTAACCTGACTAAAAAATTACTGAGACAGCTAACACCTCAACCTGCAGAAACTGATCAGCCCTGAAAGACATAGATAAACGAGACTGAATGGATCCTTGGGAGTTCTAATGATTTAAAATAACATGAGGTCACCAGCACTAGATTTTGTGCTGATGATTTACCATCAAGGAGCGATAAAAAAACAGTTGGTCTTTTAACACATGTCAGTATTGTGATATGGACAATCTGGATTTTAAACCAATTACTATTCTGACATTCATGTTTCCCATGTTTCCCAGCTGTACTGCTGCATACACCACAACTGTTGTCAGAATCATAAATACATTCTCTGGGCTGTCATAAGTCATCCTGTGTTAGCTCGATGACTAACTGTACTTACTTAAATGTAAGGTGAATTCAGGTTTTAAAGGGTTTGGGGGAAAAAAACATAACTGCAATTTTAAAGGAGATCTTTTTCAGTTCATGCCCAGTTGTAGCCTCATCCCTCTCTGTTGATATCAGAGCTCAGTTTCCCACTTCATTTCAGGACAAGCGCAAAATCAAGCACCAATGGACTGCATCTTTTTGTTTTGGTTTACATATGTCAACGCAATTCAGCCACTGTGCACAGGAATAAGGAAAAGGAGGCGATGATGTCTGAACATTCAGTGTCCAAAAACACACTTACACAGATGTTGTCCATCAGTATTGAAGCCTCCTGAATTCACCTGCACTGACTATGATTCTAAGATTCTCTTGTCTCCAAGCCACCCCTGAATTTTGGGGCTCATTGATGGGACGTGATGGGGCAGAGAGGTTGGAAGAGGTGAAGGAGTTGGCGAATAAATGCCACACTGCAGACAAAACACTCTGCCCATAATTTAGCTACCAACAACAATAAAGGAGATGCTTCATTCACCAATATTTAAAAGTTGGCCTTAGTTGTAGAAGAGCTATTATTGTGAGAAGACAGCAATTTGTACAGAATAAATGCTGGAAGTTAAGCTTTTGATGTAAGTTTACAAGTCTGATTTCTAGTTTAGTTCAGTCACAAAATTTAGCTGCAAGTAAAAAGTAAAAAAGGGTTCTTCTGTACTAACAATCCGCCCTCTTAGTAGATCACCAACAGTATTTTTGTAGCTTACTAACGTAGCTCATTAAAGTTATGGTGATCAAGGCAGAACACATGCCTGGGTTTCAAGACACGTTTTTCCTTACAGAACTCTGGCACCAGATGCAGATCTGGCCAATATGCCTGTCATCAGTCAACCCATACAAAATCTTTTGGAAATATGCAAAAAATGCATAGACTTCAGAAAACAGGCTCTAGATTCGCTGTAGAGGTTTCAAATACAATAGCTTTTCCAGAAGTATGCTATTCAGTGGCAGTTGGACACTCCCATTAAAATGAATACTACAACCTGGATGCCATAATTGCTCTGTTAGATTCATAGAGTATCACCAACAATTAAGTTGTTTCAAAAGCGACAGAAAAATCCCCCAATATTACCAGAATTGATCAGTAAATTAAGATTGGGTCAATAATCCAACACATGAACATTTCAACAATATACCGCAACAAAAAGAGTGATGACATTAAAGTAGATGATGCTGATGTTTATCCCCACAAGAGCATTTTGTGTAATGGATAAAGAAGTGTCGTCTAAATCCATCAGTATTAGGACACATTAATAGTGTTCTTCAGTGTAATTGGTATTTTTTTCCAGTACGGTTGCATGATGGACAGGAGATGAATAAGAACATGTTTAATTAACCACATTGTTGATTAATGATTCTCAGAGCTTCAAGTACATAGCAGGGCATGCGATCTGGATTAGTTATGCAAAGACATGTCACTGGAATAGTACAGCCTGGAACTGCATAGATTGCTACTTGAATAGTAAGCTCTGCATAGATTAGTTTACTGGAATATAATGGCTTCACAAGAAGGAGGAAGCAGCTATTTGACCCCACTGCTTAGAGGCCTGCTCAGGATTATGCCTGGTCATGTGGAAAGCTTTTTTCATTATACATTCTCACACTCAAGGGCAGCAATAACAACACATTATATTTGTAAAGCGCCTTTTACGACAGGAGGACATCCCAAGGCAATGGACAGTTAGGGATCCGCACCCGAGCTGGAATTAGGAGGGGTGGAGAGCAGGGAGGTAGGGGTAGAAGGGTGACTGAAGGCACGTTGAAGAGGAGGATGTTGAGACGGGTTTTGAGGGAGGCAAGGAGGGGGTGGGGTGGAGGTACTGTTGGATGGAGTTCCAGAGGTTGGGGGCAGAGAGGCTGAAGGTCCGTCCGCCAAGGGAGAGGACAGGTTGGTAGGGCATTAGAAGATCACAGAGGTAGAGAGGAGCAAGGCCGTGAAGGGCTTTGAAGGTGAGGACCAGGACTTTGAACAGTATCTTCTGAGTGATGGGGAGCCAGTGAAGCAATGTGCAATGATACACTGTAAAATAGAACAAATTGAAACCACCCATTTACAGACCAGTGGAAAATGCAGCAACTTTCAGAGAATTACCCCTCTGTTTTCTGTAAACTGTGAACCTTTTTTTGATTGTAAAAAACTCCAAGCTTTAAATACATCCAGAAAATGCTGAAGATTTTAGCAGCTCGATGAGCACCTAAAATATAGGTGAAATATAAGTGAATGTTTTGGATGTTTCCCATCATCCGACGTGACCTCCTTCAGATGACTACCTACAAACGCTAACTTATTTTCCATTTTGGATGCTGCTTGAACTGCTGTGCTCTCCTCCGTTTTCTATTTTCATTTCAGATTTGAGTGTTTTTCTGTTTCAAATTTTGTACTTATCGTTCCATATACAAAAGCGATCATACACAGAAAAATAGGAGAAAATCCTCATACACAAGCACTTAGTTAACAAACATCAACAAACCTATTTGTTGTCCCTGAAATGTTATTAGTCAAAATTATATTTCATCAGTATGATCAACCACAAAGATCTTTTGTGAATTAGTGAAAAGTTTCAAAAAATTGTTTCAGAGTCAATGATCCTGTTGCATTGTCATAATGGATGCAGTGCCCTAGAAATCATTTACTTGGCACTGATGTGTTTGCCTAAGGCTCAATTCCATGTCTCTCTGATCTGCTGGTCAAGGACAAAACAGGAAAGGCCAAAAGCACATCCTGCTGCATGTCAGCTTTTATTACAATCTGAATAAACTATCAAGGTCTGCCAGAGATCCTAAACTTTAAATCCCAGCATGACGAGACAAATGCCCTCGTCTCAGACGATTACAAAAAATTGTGCCTCACTCCCGTCAACACACTGGATGCACTGAGGGCAGATTGTACTCAAGCAATATTGAATGGCTTTACAAATGAAGGAAAGGAAATTTTTTAATTAATACTTGCCTTACTATTTAAAGAAACAATATAATCATAAACTTCAATACATTCAAGGATTTAACTATTATGCTTCAGCGTAAATCACAACAGCTGCTCAGAACTATTCACAGGCACAAGAGGAGGGAATTTCTATATCAGCTCATGAAATTCAGTTAGTTTCTTTTCAGCCGTTTTGACATTTTTTCTTATGTGTACCTATTTGTGACATTGTCATTTGTGCAGCAAATACTGGGATGCATCTTAATTTAATTATGAATCTCAACACTTTAATGGAATCCTACACAACTCACTGGTAAAAAAAACAAATCTGGTATTTCTTATCTACAATCACAGGTCGAGTCCAGAAGAAGATAGTTTCTGAGCCAGGGTTCCCAGAGTTCTTAGTATGATGTGGTACTGGTTACCATGACTAGTTGCATGACTCAGATTGCTTTTTGAGGAATCCCATTAAGAAATATCACAAATGTGTACATTTTTAGATTCCCTGTACTTTCAAATGGGTATTTATGTAACAAAGTGTTCAGAGAACAGTGAAAATGATGCTTGTGGGATGTGGCTCACAGAGCTCAACTTATTTTCAGTGGAAAACAAACTAAGAGAAAATGTGACTAGGCTTCTCATTACAATAACGAGAAACATGAATAATAAAGCTTCTCATTACAATAATGAGTTGCACAGATGATGAGTCTAATCCCAGGTTACATGGCTTCATTCTTTGGCCCCCCTGCACTCCTCCCCTCCTCCCAAAAATCCCTCTGATTTATCTCCTCCCCCTATTGGTCTGCAAAACTCCTGTTAAATCTTGCCTCTTCGACCCTCCTATACCCCTACTATGAAAACAATTTTTTTATCTGCATCTGTAAAATCCCCTGAAACACTGTCCTTTGTAAAAGCCACTATATATGTGCAAATTATTGTTATCTAATAGACTCCAATTGCAGAACTGGGAAACATTAACACAAATCTAGCAAGCTTCAAACAACGATGAGCTCTCACTAAGAGCATTTAATTTATACCAATTAATATAATTTTAAAAAGGGAATCAAATGTACTTATTTTAATGCAAGACTGATGCTATAAAACTAAAAATAGGTCCATTAATCAAATACTTCAGATGAGATGTTAAACTGACGTTCCATCTGACTGCTCAGGTGGACATTAATGATCCCACTATTCAAAAAGAGATGGGAGTGCATCCAGTGTCTTGACCACAATCCCCCTTTAAGACATCCTCCAGACATGAAGGCCAATGTTAGGATTATTATTACCATTACTTTCTGGAAATACAATATTGAGATTGCAGAGAGGATTGAAATCTTGTGGTTTCTCTCATTAACCTTCATGAATCAAAGAAAAAAGCCATGGAGCTTTACAACCTTAAAAGCTTTACCTGTTAGTTGGTTAGTTTCCTCTCAGGAGACTGAATGGGATTGGGGACAGAATGTACGACAAAATGTGTATGGCCTGACGATAGAATGGATCACATGGTCTGAATTGTTCTTTGTCACACATTATTTTCCTGTGGTCTTGTGTTCCTAACACGAAGACTCAACAACCCACAGTTCTCATGTGTGGACAAAAAGTAATAATCTACTGTTACCTAGTGTATATTCTCTATATACCCTCAAGGAAAAAAACAATAATTTGGTCACTCAATCCATGACTGTTTGTAGGACACTGCTGTGCCCAATATCAAATGCAAGGATTATTATTATTACTATTATTCTGTGAAGCGCTTTGAGACATCTAGAAGATGTGAAAAGTGCTGTATCAAATGCAAAGATTATTACTATTGTTATATCATTAAATAGCTATAGATAGTCCCATGCATCATATTATTATGGATGGAATATTCAGTCAATGGATAGATGGCAAATATAACTTTGCAATCCTATTCATTCATTTAAAATCAGACATATTGAATGCATAAAAACTGATTAAAGAGCAACTTCAAAGATAAGAGCAAATGAACACTGTTATTCTAACAATCCTTCCATTCTCAGGGTAGTCAGGTTAGAAAGAATGATTAATTCATTACAAGGTGCTGGAAACTAGTCTTGCCAATAAACATAAATTCATAAATTATTAAATGGATATTAAACTTTCTTTGCATGATTCCAATATGTATGTCAGCACCTGTGAAATAACTTGATTATTTAACACAGTTACACACTGCACTAACATCAATAAAAATATCAAAAACCCTCAATTCATAAATTAATTCATTCCTAATTTATGTAAAATACAATGAATAAAAATAGTAAAGCATATATAAACTGTATAAGAAACTTGTCAAATTTGATCAATTGTAGATTTTATTGTATACACACGTTTGTAGAACATGTTCATGCTAATAATCTTAATTATTTAAGTGATTATAAAATAATAGATACAAATAACCTTCATAATACATATATACTAAAATATATTTTATCACAATGGTATCTAAATTGTCAAACATGCTACTTTCTGCCTCTGTTTTCATATAATTCTGAATAAAATTTCATGCATGCTGTTTTTTTTGCATTTTGTTTTCTACATTGAAAACGTCAAGATGTCAAAGTTTCTTTGGGCATTTTTCATCAAAGCAGCATTTTTAGCCTTAAATCCTAGACATTGGTATGCTGTGTACATCCTTCTGGAAGTGCAGTGAAGCATCCAGGTAGAGCAATTGCAGCAGGAAGCTTGATTTATGGTTTCTACTCCACATCTCCTCACATCGAGTCCATATTTGGAGAGTGGAGATGGTATCAATTTGTACTGTTGTGTTTATGCATTTATGCTGTCCAATTCAAACTATTGTGCCACCAAAACTACCTCTTCCGGATAGGGACAGCCATTTTATGATGACTCTTGCCACTCTTGGATCGTGCCATCTCACCCCTGATTTATAGTGCACATTTGGTGGCTAATTGCTGCCAAACTAGCATAAATGCAGTATGAGACAAAGCATCAGAGATGTCATCTGGATCTAGATTTACTCTATTTAAGTAGCATTTCAGAGAATCCTAAATTTGGCAAATTCCTAAAAAGAGCCTGAATTTTGAAGCGGTTTTTCTATAACATATTTTAGTAATTTCAGATAACAGAGTTCAAAGTTAATGTTGATTTCAGCAACTTGCAGAATTCTAAACTGCTACATACATAGAATAAATCTAGATCCAGGTTGAATTCCTCTGTCGTACTTGTTTGAAATAAAGATATTGACCTACCAGTTCAACTCGTCCAAATCCTCCGACTCCCAGAGTATCAATGATGTTAAAATCAGCTAGTTTCAGGTTGGCAAAGAATGCGGATTCAGCTTCATATCTAGATATTTTCAAATGAAAGAATGGAAATTTCTTAGATGTGCCAAAGTTACGATTCTGCAGCATTATAACAGAACGGCTGAGCACTTGTTACCATCGGACCCTCTGACGAAGGCCTAAACTTTGTTCTATAAATCCACTATGCTATGGTCCCAGGAATCCAACACCAAGTTATTTGGGTTATGGAGTTACTATGGTTTCAGTAAGTCAGAAAACATTCTTAAAATAGAATTCTGCTTATAAAGAGAAAAGCACGTTCTTCTTAATGGTTTTTGTTTTATTTTGCTTCAGTGACCATTTTCCTATTTGTTTTGAATTACTAGTCATTGAGAGGAAAGGAAAACCAAGGAACTGCCTGAGTATGCAGATTTCATTATGAACAATCTCTCAAACCAAATTCCACATCTGCAGCTGGTGAGAATTATCCAAATGTGTGCGGGATCAGAGGTGTCAAGTCTACAAGGGTCTCCGGAGAGAAATCACATCCAGTGTTGCGTTGGGAAACATTTAGCAGCAAAGAAAACTGAAACATTCAAGTCAGATTGCATAACTTTAGAGGATTACATATGGCAGCTACCATTAATTTAATTTATCATTCTCTTACCTGAGTTCATAAGGATCATTTTATGATGTCCACAGCCCTGTTGTTGCAGAGATAAAGTCTTAACCATCACTAGAAAGTATGAATTTACATAGATTTTGATAAGAGTAGAACTGAGTCCGGCCGCCCCTACTAGCAAATACAACTCTATAAATAACGATTCGTAGGGGACCTTGGTATGAGTGGAAATATTTGGTGGTAAACATTCTGGTTGGGTAATGCTCTTCTCCCACATCGACCTAAGCCAACTGGTCGCTAAAAAAAGGATTAGCGACATGATCTGACAATTGACCTTTAACCTGCTACGTTGTGCACTATGGTGCGGATAGACACTCATGACAGCCTTATGGGGTTCCAGCGTTTTAAAATCCTTTTAAGTGGTAGTATATTTTATAAACCTTCTCTCGCTGAGTCTCTCTTGATGAATTAATTTTAAAAATTGTATTTAATTTAACAGTTACCTCAAGAATTTGTTGTTGTAAGGGATTAATACCTTTCTGTTTATTATGCATCTTTATATTTTTGTTTTTGGTTTATATTTGACCATCTTAATTAGTGCCTTGATGTATGGCATTACAGACCATTGGTCATATAGCATAAAGGTTTAACCAGTCTAAAAAGGGCATTATCTTTTAAGGCTGTGGTACGAGGTACTTTCAGTCGTGTGCCAAAGATTAATGGTTAAAAAATGCACTTATAATAAATAATAATCCTTGCATTTGATACTTAGTGTAAATGCCTCCATCAAAGTCTTAGACATTGTATTTGCTTCCTTTCCAAACACTTAGCTAAAAATAAGCATGGGACGAAATGTTTCAGTTACAATCTAAGTGACTAGAAGACCTTTCATAAATCTTTTCACATTTTAATTTCTAGTTTCCCAAAGATTCGCATTTCAGACCGTATTAAATGAAAGCCATTTTTCAAATATAGGAATGAATTGCAATATGTTTGCTTCTGTTGGTTTTGTGATAAATTATAATGTATACTTTGTCTTCTGAATAATAATACAGATGGATGGATCATGATCTTGAATTGCATGCACTGCATCACTATGGCTGATGAAAACCTAACAAGAAAAATTAAGGTACTGAATACATCCTTCAGATGAGATGTTAAACCGAGCTGGCCTTTCCAGGTGGATTTTAAAGATCCCATGGTACTATTCAATAAGAGAAGGGCATTGCTCCTGGTATCCTGACCCAACAATCCCCAGATAAGACTGATCATTTACTTCATGGGTGAAAACACAAATACACAATCACCACCCTTACAATAAATCCTGTGATGTGTTTTGAGATGTTTCAACATTGTGATAAGGTGCTGTATCAAATGTAAGGATTACTACTTTTCCCTAATCTCAACATCTCTTTTTAATTATTTATAATAATAATAATCCTTGCATTTGATATAGCTCCTTATCACGTCACCGAGACAGCTCAAAGCACTTCACAGAATATACTGTAAAGTGTAGTGACTGTGTGTTTTGAGGGCGAAATTTTGTATTTTCCACTAAATTGCTAAAAATTTGCATTGAAACAAATAATTTAGGAAATTTGAGTAACAATTATATCATAGAGTGTATACATTTTGCTTTACAATAATACGATATAAATTTACATTTAGATAGCGCCTTTCACATCTGGAGGATGTCCCAAAGCATCTAGCTGGGGGTGGGAGCTGAGGGTGGGGTGGCATTTGGTGCGGAGGGAAAAAATGACCAAAAGCACAGTCGAAGTAGTAGGTCTCGAGTTGGACCTTGAATAATTTGAGGCAGGGGCGAAATTGATTTGATGCATTGATACAGACAAAACTATTAATAGGTGTGCATTATGCTCTGTTTATGTTCTATACCAATATGATTGTAGGAATAAAAGTGTAATGCAAGGTATAGCAATGTTTCCCATCAACAATGTCATGGGGCTAAATACAGCAGCACACATGTGCATTTCATTTCGTGTTCTGAGACAGTGTACTATCCATGAGGTTGTATTGTGACAGGAGTGTGTATCACCTGGAAGTGAGACAATGCATGAATGCAAGCCAAACAATGGGACCAGTAATAATTGCATCTTATGTCAACAGAGCTTTATAAAGATTTATAAAAAATGTACAGCATATAAACAGGACACTCGACCCAACCAGTCCCTGGTCCACAGGAGTCTCCATCCATTCCTTACTTCCTCCCATACCCTTATATTCCCTTCTCCCTCACGTGAAAGTCTAATTTACTCTTGAACACATCTATACTGTCTGATTCAATCACTCCTTCAGGCAGTGAGTTCTACAGACTCACTACCCTCTATGTGGAGTAGTTCCTTGTAAATTCTCGTTTAGATCACCTAGCAATTGAGTCACACTCTTCTTCATGACTTTGCTAAATAGCTTTTCTAGGCTGCAAATAGGTTGCAAATAGGCTTTGCATTACACTTTCATTTCTACAATCATATTGGTATAGAATATTAACAGAATATAGTGCACTAATAGTGAATATAATAATTATAATAATCCTTGCATTTAATATAGCGCTTTTCACGTCTTCTAGACGTCCCAAAGCGCTTTACAGAATATACTGTAAATTGAATTGACTGCATGTTTATGGGCGAACGCGGCAGCCAATTGCGCACAGCAAAGTCCCACAAACAGTCGTAGATTGAAATTGACCAATTTATTATTGTTTTAGTTTTTTTGGAGGGATTATTATTAGGCGTGTGGAGTAAGGTTTTGCCCTGACCTACCTGGAATTGAACTCAGGTCTCTCACTTGCAAAGCGAGTGCTCTAACCACTGAGCTATAGATCTGTATCTTATATTTGTGTTCCCTGGTTAGGGATTCCTCAGCCAGTGGAAACAGCTTAGTTAAGCTAATTATCAATCCCTATTTAGCAAAGTCATGAAGAAGAATGGCACTCAATTCCTCCTCCGACCAAGTAAACACAATTTTTTTTTAAAAAAAATGCTAATTGAAGGAGAGGGTGGGAGGAAATGAAAGAATATTGGTAAATCAGTCTCAAATTCAACTGAAGTGAAAAATATTAGGTCTTGTATTTTTATTGCAGTCTCTATGTCTTATATGACATTGCTGCTTGAATTTTTAACTGAGTTTGCACTGCTGCACAAGAGGTTAATAACATTATTGAAGCCGCGATTCTCAGAAAGTAATGTATGTTCAAAAATATCATGGTTTAATACAGCTGTTATTAAGTGACCCCGACACCCACCCCTACTCCCCCATCCCACAGTCCTTGAAATCTGCCAGTTTAACTAAAGCTGTAGCTGTCAGAGTTTAGAACAATATCACAGCAAAGATCCTTGTACTGTAAGTCAGATCAGATATCATTACCAATGTACTCAAAGGGAATTATGGTTGAGCTTCTGTATCCATATCAGACTTATGTGAGAGATTTATGTGTTTTCCTTTATTCTGCTGTATCTATTGAGAGAGGGAGGTTACTTGGAAAAATCTCTTTTGAATGAATTTGTTTTGTGTTTATTTAACAGAGGCAATATTTAACTCACATGAATTCACTGTAAGAACACATTGACTTGGCTTGTTTGCCTTCCCTCCAGGTGATGCATTCTCCTGACATAATCATCTAAACTGAGATCATCCAAGTAAAGATGTTCAAATTGGAGGAAAGTAATACTGATTTCAGAACTAAAATTTTTCATACTGTCCTCGAGTTTACTGTGATCCATTATTTCTAAGAAACAAAATTCACGATTTCCCTGTACATTCTGTGTCCACTCAGAAGCCTTTAGGACAAGTTCCATGTTAGGATTTGAGATCATCGTCTTGGCTGACACTAAGTGCTGGGTGAGGTGTTGGGATGAACATTAAACTGACGTCTTGTGTGCCTGATCATGACACTACTTAAAAAGAGAGTGTTTCTCCCATTGTCCTGGTCCACAATCCTCTAGAATAATCTGTGAGACCTTGCTGCCACATTTACCTACAAAAGCACAGCCACTGTACTTGATACACTTGAAACTGTGGAGAACTTTGAGACATTTTGAGGTGATGAGGTGCTATAAAAATGCATGTCTTGGTTTTCTTACTAACGAAATACACTAAACCTAAAGTATTTAACTGAACTGTTACTAAGCCCACAGCCTCAGATAGAGCAAAGTCAGAATGAAAATGTCTTCTCATTAAAGGTAATGCTAGTATCAGTTTATAACTCTTTTGTCCAACGGAGTACAGCAATAGAAAATTGAACAATTCTTAAAAGGTTGCTCAGATCTTTCTGAAGTGTTCTGTAGGGTTCCACTAGAGGGCAAAGTGGTTTGGGATTTAAACAAAAGAAAGCATCTTTCAAGTTAGCAGCTTTGTAACATCATCCGGGATTGTCTCTTCTGTATAATACATTAACCAAAATTCAGAGATGTTAAGTGTTGGAA